GGCGGCCTGATGTGGCTGCAGCAGCGGCTTAAGGGGCTGCCGGGGTTACTGTCGAGCAGCTGGGCCCGCCGCCTCCTCTGCCTGCTCTGCATTCTGGTGTTGCTCCTCTGGTTCGCGGGCTCCGGGGCGCGGCAGGCGGCGGGTGGCCTGCATTTGCTGTCCTGGGCCCGCGGCGATTCGGGGGCCGCCGAGCCCTCAGCCTGCTTGGAGGCGGCTACCCGGGCCTGGAGTGGCCTCAAGGAGCGCGGGGAGGCAGTGCCGCTGGGCCCCGGCGTGCCGGCCCTGGTGGCCAACGGCTTCCTGGCCCTCGACGTGACCGCCAACCGACTCTGGGTGACCCCCGGGGAGCGGGAACCCGCCGTGGCGCCGGACTTTGTGCCTTTCGTGCAGCTGCGCCCTCTCAGCGCGCTGGCCGAAGCTGGGGAGGCCGTGCTGCTCTTGCGGGAAGGCTTGTTGCGCCGGGTGCGCTGCCTGCAGCTCGGGCTCCCCGGCTCCGGCCCAGCAGCCGCCGTCCCCGGGCCCGCCTCGGCCTCTGGCGTTGTCACGGGGGCCGGCCGTGACTGCGTGCCGCTTCAGGAGGACTTCCTGGCTCACCGGGGCCGCCCTCATGTCTATATGCAGCGCATCCAGCTCAGCAACCCCACGGAGCGCGTCGCGGCCCTGCAGACCGTGGGGCCCACCGCCGGCCCAGCCCCCAAGGCCTTCACCAGCACGCTGGAGAAGGTCGGAGACCATCAGTTCCTGCTCTACTCGGGCCGCTCCCCGCCTTTGCCCACGGGACTGGTGCACCTGGTAGTGGTGGCCGCCAAGAAGCTAGTGAACAGGCTCCAGGTGGCTCCCAAAACACAACTGGACGAGACAGTGCTATGGGTGGTCCATATCTCCAGCCCCGTGAACCCCCAGGTGCTCAAGAGCAAAGCAGCCAAGGAGCTCAAAACACTCCAGGACTTGGCCCGCAAGGAAATGCTGGAGCTCCTAGAGATGCCGGCAAATGAACTGCTTCAAGACCACCAGCGCCTCTGGGCCCAGCTCTTTAGCCCAGGTGAGGCCTCCACTTCTCGGGGAGGGAGGAAGTACATAGGTGCAGGGTGGATGCTAGAGGAGAGGGATGATTTCACTTGACCTTGGCGCTGACCTGGGGCCGAATCTCTTTCCACTACTTAGCCACAGTTGCACCTGGCATCAGTCACCTCTCTCTCCATCTGTTTTTTATGATAACAGCACCTCACTCGGGGGCTCTTAAGAGAAGGGAAGAATGGTGTTAAGCTCAGGGTTTTTTTGTTATTCTTAAAGGTGAGGCCGGAGTTGAGCAGGGTAAGATTTTTAGACTTGGTTTGTGAAGGATCCACCAGGAGGCAGAGACCTGGAGCCCCAGGATGTCTTCAGTTCCCAGATTGCCTGTTGACTGGCATGGGCTCCTTGAAGTGACTCGCCGGGCTGCATGTCCCCTGCTCTTGTTGTGGTTGCAGCTGCTTCTTGGGAGAGTTGAGATGCTGCCAAGTGGCCGCTTCTTTCCCCATAGGCTGTTCCAGGAATGGAAACCCTGTGCTAGATGAGACAGGGATCCTGACTTCCAGGGTCCCCATTTTCTGAACCCTTAACGGTTGCTCAAACAGAATGTGAATTCTCCCAACAGGTAATCACCCAGCAGGCTCCAGGGCCTGTTCCAGGCACCAGGGATACAGGAGTGAATGGAATGAAGTCTCTGTTCTCGTGGCGCTTGCTTCAGTTCTGTTAGGAAGGCAGACGGATGTTAGAAAAGACCATGTGTTTCAGTAAGCATGGTGGGGTTTCGGAGTGGAAAAGTCCAATGGGTGAATGTTAAAAATAGGATGATGTGATCAAGGGTGACTGGTGGGGTAAAAGTATGGAATGGAGGACCACTTTGAAGGGAAGACACCGTTACTAAGAAGCCAACCTTGTAGAGAGCTTGGCTGGAGCCAGCAAGAGGCCCTAGGAAGGAGTGGTATAGAACAGGTGGCTGGCAGGTGGTGAGCAAGAGGAGCTTGTCAGGAGGCACGAGAACATGGACATTGGCTACATCATCAGAGGCCTTCTAGACCTTGGTGAGGACTTTGGCTCCTATTTTAAGTGAGATGGAAAGCAGAGGAGAGTGGTGAGCTGGTGTACTTAAAAGGAACCTTCTGGCCACTAGCTGAAGAATACAGACTGTAGGAAGGCCAAGTGGCTGCATGAGGGCCAGTCAAGAGGCTTTTCTTGGAGCTCAGGTGAGAGAGGAAGGCAGTGTGGGCCAAGGTTGTGATCACGGAGGTGGAGCGAAATGGACGGCTTGAGGGCAGTGGCACCACCAGGACTTACTGTGGATTGGCTTTGGTGAGTGAAAACTTGAGAAGGACTTCTGAATTTTAGGGACATGGGCAGTTTTGTGGTTAAGGATGTCATTTCCCAAGTTGGAGACAATTTTGAAAATAATTTTTTAGGGTTGGAAGAGTTCAAACTATGTCCAATTCAAGATCCAGGTGCCAGCAGACACCACGCTGCTGAGTCCAGTGTTCACATAAATTTGGGAGATACTTGTGTTGAGAGGTTAAAGCTAAGAACTGGCAAGAGATGACAGAGGAATGACCAGGACTGGTGAAGACATTGATGGATGCAGTGTCTTTGCTTGTTAAGGGCTTTGGGGCCAGGGAGGGGCCAGACCTTTCCCTTGACACCATAGGCTGGGAAGTCCTGGTTGGTCTGTCTGCTTAGCTCCAGAAGAGCTCTCTGCTGTCTCTCCTTTTTTTTTTTAACAGAGGTTTGCGTTTAAGCCTTCGAGTGGTCTCATAAAGATGGGGAGCCTAGCTTTGTCCTGTACCATGGGAGGTGGGCTGCAGTTTCAGCACCAGGCACTAACATGTCTGCCCTTGATTTTTTTCCATGACCTTGGTCTCTCCATACCCCCCCCTCTAACGTGCAGTCTTGGGTTCTAGGAGTGGAAATGAAGAAGATCACGGACACACACACACCATCCAGCCTGACTGTGAACCTGACACTTTACTACATGCTCTCCTGCTCCCCAGCCCCGCTGCTCAGTCCTGCCCTGAGCCACCGGGAGCGAGACCAGATGGAGTCTACACTCAACTACGAAGATCACTGCTTCAGTGGCCACGCCACCATGCACGCCGAGAACCTCTGGCCTGGGCAGCTGTCCACAGTCCAGCAGATCCTGCAGCTGTCAGACCTGTGGAAGCTGACCTTGCAGAAGCGTGGCTGCAAGGGGCTGGTGAAGGTGGGCGCCCCAGGCATCATGCAGGGCATGGTACTCAGTTTCGGCGGGCTACAGTTCACCGAGAACCACCTCCAGTTCCAGGCTGACCCCGACGTGCTGCACAACAGCTACTCTCTGCACGGCATCCGCTACAAGAACGACCACATCAACCTGGCCGTGCTTGCCGACGCCGAGGGCAAGCCCTACCTGCACGTGTCGGTGGAGTCCCGGGGCCAGCCCGTCAAGATCTACGCCTGCGAAGCTGGCTGCCTGGAGGACCCCGTGGAGCTGACCTCGGCACCCCAGGGCCACACGTTCTCCATCATGGTGACACAGCCCATTACGCCACTGCTCTACATCTCCACCGACCTCACACACCTGCAGGACCTGCGGCACACGCTACACCTCAAGGCCATCCTGGCCCACGACGAGCACATGGCCCAGCAGGACCCCGGGCTGCCCTTCCTCTTCTGGTTCAGTGTGGCCTCCCTCATCACCCTCTTCCACCTCTTCCTCTTCAAGCTCATCTACAACGAGTACTGCGGGCCTGGCGCCAAGCCTTTCTTCCGGAGTAAGGTATAAAGCCGCCAGCTCACAGCACCCAGGGCCTCCACCACACTGCCTGCCCCATGGCTAGATCTAGGACCCTTGGCTGTTGTGTAGGAGGGACTGGCCTGGGAGTAGTCAGGTGTCCTCAGCCAAGGCCCTCAGCATGAGATTTAGGAATGTGCTTTCAGAGCATGCCAAAAAGTGACTTCAGAAAGAGACCCTAAGTCAGGACAGGACAACTGAGTGAACCATCGTGCTCACCCCACACGCCCACCCCACCTCTCCATCACTGCCAGTCCCTGCCCTCACCTAAGGGCTTGTCCAGTGTACCTGGAGCTCAGTCCCTCACTGTGACCTCTGACGTCACCCTCTGCTCAGCACAGGACATAATCCTTCCCTTCCTGTGTCCTGAAAGGTATCTTTCCCCAGGAGCCTGTAGTTGCCACCTCAGATGCTCAGGGACTATATCACCTGGGACTTGGAGACTTATCAGGTCTGGGTGAGGTTGTCAGCTTTGCCTTCAAGCCACGGTCCCACCACCTAGGCACGAAGGGGCGGGGCAGGGAATCTGTCCTTAGCGACTGAGAGAAGGTGCTTCGGCTGAGAGAAGGTGCTTCGGGAGCTGAGCTTTTCCTTTCCCTCTCACTGTTCTCCTTTTCTCCCCCCTCCCCTCTAGCTGCAGTGAGAATAGAGAGCTAGTAAACTCAAGGTCTGTGCTCAGAGCCTGCTCAGAAGAGGTGCGCCACATCATTAGAGGGACTTTGCAGCTTCAGGTTCTGGTCCAAGGCCAGGACTTAGCATCGGAGGACTAGGACAAAGGCCAGAGGCAGGTGTGGGCTACTCAAGCGTGAAGAACAGATTGAAAGTCAGATCAAAAGGCACGGTGCAGGTGTGCCTTGATGAGCTGTATAGAACAGGTGCTACATTTGCATTGTGTGGGCTCTGCCGCCTCTGCTTGAAACAGGCTGCTGCTTCTCTGTTCTTGCTCTTGGCGTTCACTCATCCGCCCTTGGTTCCCTTCATAACTGGGGGGACAAGCCAAATCACCCTCACAGGGTACTGACTCGTGTCCCCCAGGTCATACATGGTTGAACTGTGCTTGCCAGAGCAGAACCCTGTGAACACTGCCCAGCCAGCATAAGGCACCCACAGACCACCGAGTCCATGTGGACTCCATCTGACCACAGGCAGGGTCAGAGACGGCTGGGGGTGTCTCTAACCTGCACCTCTGAGTGTTTCTGTGGTGGTCCACAAGGCTGGCAGCAAGCAGTAATACCTTGTTTTGTCCATTGAACAGGAAGATCCCAGTGTCTGAGTAAATGAATGTCCACGCTCAGCCACCATTTGCACAAGATGCCCAGCACTAACCGTCCTGCTGCTCCGAACAAGGGATCCTCTGAAAGCTACCACCCTTTTGTGCCTTGTTGTGGGAAACCAGTGACTCCGAGTGTTTGTGGACCTTCAAGAGTTTGCGTCAGAAGGAAGCGGAGTGTGCAGTGGGGAGCGGGGCGGGAGAGGCCAGTGGACTTTTTGTAAACTTTCGGCTCAATAAAATGAACCCATATGGAAAATACTTGAAATTGAACTTCCTCCTTCCAGTTACTCCCTTCCCTCTGTCCCAGGAAATCAGCCCTCTTTTGAAGACTTATTTAGGAAAAACTGTGTTCTTTAATGTGTCCTTTCTTGAATGATTTTTTTAATTTATTTCTGTTGATTCTGTTATGTAGTTCCTGCTTCCACTTGAGACGGTGAGTCTTGGCCGGGGCCTCCCATCTCAGCTGCCTCAGTGGCATCTCAAGGCCGGGTTCAGTCCCTCTCCAGGGGACACGGGCCTGGGTCACTCCTGCTCACTGTTGTGTCTCTCACAAGCCTGTGGAGATCTGTGGTTTTGTACTTTGCGGGAGCGGTGTCTAACTTTCTAGTAACTGATGATTGTTGGGTTTTGAAATACCAAAGCTTCCTTTTCTGTTTTTAAATAAATAACTTTCAAAACTTCCATGACCGGGTCTGTGTGTGGTTGAAGCCTCTGTCACCAGATTGTTAACCTCCTAGTCCTGAGGTAGAAACAATAACTTCTCCCACACCTCATCAAGAAAGTCACCCTGGGAGGTGTGGGTGGATGCTTTCCTGCTTACCTTGGGGTTTGCTGGTTGAGGGCCCCAACCTCACCTGCTCAACCCTTCCCTGCTCAGTGTCCACACCCACACCACTGGGTGGCCTGGCCCTAGGGCTGGGCAGCAGGAAGAAATTCCCAAGTAGGCCTTCTGCAAAGTGTCAGGCTCCACCCCTCTGTAAGGAAAAGAGCTATCCTGGGACCCCAAAGGGATGGTGGTGCAGAACATCCCACCTTGGAGGCTGCCTGTGTTTTGATGGTTTCCCTGGGCTCCTAGACAAGCAGCTGAAGCAGCAAGACTCTCCATGGACTTGGCTCACTTGCCAAGGAGTTGCAGTCTGGCCACAGTAGATGGCTGTGAGACAAACAAGTTGATCAGGCTCAGAAATTTCTAGCTGCTTGTGTCCCACTTGCCTTTTCTTGCTCAGGTAGTTGAGAGCGTGCAATGCCATTGGCTCTGGCTACCTGCCCATTTCAGGCAAGGTCGCTCACAGGTGCTGCTGATGCCATTTATAGCTTGTGACACGCTGCACTTCAGCTGCAAGCTGCTTGACCAGTCATTGCATTGTGTCCCATCATCTGTGTTTAACATGGTGCTGGGCTCTAGCAACATATACGTGAACGGATGGCGCTACCTGGGGCCTGAGAAACAAGAGTGGAATGACTAGATTTTTAAGTGACCTAGTGGCAAGAAGCTGCGTTGCAATCCCAAAGGCATGCAGTTCAAGGCCACCAGCTGCTCCGTGGGAGGATGGGCAATCTCCTCTCATGCGATAAACTGCCTCTGAAAACTCACTAGGAACTGCTATGGGTCGGTTCCGACTCTAAGGTTCACAACAATAAGGCAAGGTTCCAGTCTGTGGTTCATAGCATTGCTATGAGTTGTCCATCTGCCTGCGTATAAACACCACAGCGTCTAAAGACCAGAGCTCATCATAAGCCATATCCAGAAACTAGAGTTCAGATAGCTTCACTGGGATTCTAGTCATTCCACCCTTTAGGATTGTGTTAGGATTTTACATCAAGGCAGCACTGTGAGGAGGAGATGATGGAGCGAGCTGCTAGGATCTGCGATGAAATCAGCACAGTCAGCGAGGAACCTGTCCACTGACACACAATTATTAAGTGCAAGGTCAGAAGGCAAACTAGCCCTTCACTGCCTCAATTCTGCTAGAGGCTTGGGAGGTGATGGGAGCAAATGCTTTTTCTCGCTTTGGGATGGCATCAACTCTGAAAGTAATGTCGGTAATGAAACCGCTGTACTTTGAACCCAATGACGGTCCACTTCTGCATTTTCCAGTCAGTGTCACTAGGAGGCGCGCTCTTTCTAGCCTCCCGGGCCAGATGAACACAAAAGGCTTTTTCTGCGGCTGAAATTGTATACGGAAGGAGATGGGGGGATACACACTAGAATGAAAATCAATCTGTCTATTCATTACAATTAAAAAAATCACCACCCCAAACCAACCAAGCACGACCCAGCACTCCCTAAGAGCTGAAAAACTCAACAAATGGGCAACTGTTCCTTCTCTACTGTCCCATCTCACACCCCCTCTGCCCATCTTTGTGGCTGAGTCAACCAGCTGCTTTTCGCACGCAACTTGCTCGACTACTCTCTTACCCAGACCTACTGGGCAACCAGACGCAGCGTCCACTCATGCGCAGCCGTGGCGCGCCAGCCCGCTTCCAACAGCCCAGGTCACCTAGATGAGGCGTGGGCGGGACCTCATGCTCAGCGCGGCGGCGCAGGCGCAGAAACATGGAGTCTGTGCGGAGATCACCGCCAGACTTGCATGCAGGCTTGAATTCGTGAAGGGAGAAAAGAGAGCAGGCAGTGCGGCTACTTGGTAACCTCTCAGGGCGATGAATAAGCTCCTAATTGGTGGCAACAACAAAACAGTTACCATGGGGTCAACTTGAACCCACGGCGACCCTCTTTGTATGTATCAAGTTAAAGTTGTGCTCTGTGGGATATGTAGCAGCCAATTTTTTTCAGTAGAGCACCAGGCCTTTCTTCCGAGGATGGACTCAAACCTCTTACCTTTGTTGTTGTTGTTGTTATGTGCCGTCGAGTCGCTTGCGACTCATAGCGACCCTGTGTACAACAGCCCTAAACTCTCCTCTTTCCTGTGCCAATCGCACCGTCTCCGATACACCCATCCCGATTACCCCAGTCACTGAACTAACCCACCTTATAGAGGGCCTTCCCCTCCTGCACTGTCCCTCCACTCTCCAAGAACCGGTCCCTCCTTAAAACATGTCCAAGGTATGTTAGAGCCTCAAAATCCTTGCCTCCAAGGAGCCGCCCGATTTGACCCTTTCCAGGCTGAATCTGTTTTCTTAGCAGTCTATGGTACCCTCAATACTCTTCTCCAGCACCACAGCTCAAAGGCACCAATTCTCCTATCCTCCTTACTCATTGTCCAACTATCTGATGCATAACAAGTGATTGCAAAGACCATGGCCTGTATCAGATGCACCTTAGTCTCCAGAGAGACACCATTCCTCTTCAGTACTTTGGAGAGGTCCCTAATAGCAGACTTTCCCATGGCAATACGTCTTTTAATTTCCTGGCTACTGGTGCTGGGAGTGTTGACTGTGGAGCCAAGCAAACTAAACTGTGAACAATCTCAGTCTCATCACCATCCATCCTGATGCTGCCAATTGGTCCAATGGTGAGAATCTTTGTTTTCTTGACATTGAGCCTCAATCTATACTGAAGGCTGCAGTCCTTGGCCCTCTGCAGCAAGCATTTCAGGTCCTCAGTTTCAGCAAGCAAGGTTGTGTCATCTGCATACCTCAGATTGTTGATAGGTCTTCCACCAATCTTGACCCCACATTTTCTACCTTTGGCATATTAAAATAAGCTTGGGAACTCAGGAAATATAAATTGGGCGTAAAAATACCATCTCTGGACATATTAGGAAGCCCTGATGGCCTAGTGGTAAGAAACTGTACTGCAATCCCCTAGCCTTGTGGTTTGAGTCCTCCAGGGAAGATGGGTAATCTTCTCCCATGCAACTAACTGCCTCTTGAAAACCCGCTGTAGGGTCTGCTATGGGTTTGTTTCGACCCAGTGGCACACAACGGTGGACATATTTATTCCTCTCCTCATAAATTCTTTGGTAATTTTGGTCAATCTTTATTGCATCCCTAAAAATCAAATAAGACAATGTATTACCACATTGTACAAAGTGGAAGCTGAGACTCAGTAAAGGAATACTTGCAAAAGATCAAAGGGAGGGCCTTGGGGAGAGGTTAGGTTAGTTATTTCCTCTGCTAATTTATAAAAGAGAAGATCATAGTTTCTGGAATGTCTGCCAATGTTGTGAGAATCTCTGTGATAGCTCAGTGTGTGTCCTAAGTGGTGAGAAAACCTGGACAGGTGAGACTTGTGAGCAGGTGAGGAGGGAGAAGGAAGCCCGTGAGAGAGGTCTGGGCTTCCCTTGGAGTAAAACTGTCATGTCTGTCATGGGTTTCTTTTTCAAAGTATCTGAGCCATAACTTTGACTCTCACATGGGTGGTTGAGAACATGAGAAAGGGTGGGTATAATGACTCCTGATGGGATTGGTCCATTTCCCCATCCACCAGGTTTAGCAGTGGAATATGCAGAGACCAAGTAGTTGTCTGAACAGAACAATGGAGTACTTGTTATTAAGTGCCATTGACTTGAGTATGACTCATTGCTACCCTGTGAACAAAAGATCTGAACTCTGTCCTATCCTGTGCCATTCTCATCATCCATGACGCACTTGAATCCATTGCTGTATCCACTATCAGTCCATCTTGTTGAGGGGTCATCCTTTCCTTCAATGACCCTCCACCTTTCGAAACATGATGCCCCTTTCCAAGGAATGACCTCTCCTAACAATATGTCCAAAATATGTGCGATAAAGCTTCATTGTCTTTGCCTCCAAGGAATATTCTGGTTGCACTTTCCCCAAGAAGTATTTGTTTCCCCAAGATGTACCACAACTAAAATGCATCAGTTCTCCTTTCATTCTTATTCATTGACCAGCGTTCAGATGCATAGCATGCAATTAGAAATACTGTGGTTTGAATTGGAAGCACCTTAGTCTTTAAACTGGCATCACTGCTCTTTAGGACTTGGACAAAATCCCTCATAGCAGACCCTCCAGCTGATTGCTGATACCAAGAGTGTTAATTGTGGATCCAAGCAAGATGGAATCATTGACAATTTCAGTATTTCCCCCCATCTATCATGATGTTTGCCTGGTAGTTCAGTGGTGAGTGTGGAGTTTATATATATTTTTTAAAAGTTTATCTTTCTTTTATTGTATCATTTTTAAGTGCACCGTCAAATCAGATCTGACTGATAGAGGAAGAGATTGCCCCCTCCTTCTCCAGCAGAGCATCTGGTGGATTTGAACCGCGTACCTCTGGGATTGCAGTGCAGCGTCTTGCCACTAGGCCACCAGAGCTCCCTAAAAGT